ATTGATGACAAGTATAAAGTAGAAATTAGTAAAGAAGTTACTATTTAACTAATATTTATAATAGAAAATTCATTAATACCTAATAATACAGTTTTTATATGAAATAAGAACACTTTTATAATAAAATAATTTTAAAATAAAAGTAAATATTTTACATAAAGTATTATTGAAGAATTAATAATAGTTTTGTAAAATTATGATCACTTATTACTAAAATATAATTTTTGAACCAAGTTCTATAATTTGTTATACTACAGAATTCTTTGCTATACTTTTTAACCACTATTTAATCCTATTAAAATTTTACTTATTATGTAGTTTTATACTAATAAAGAATTAGATCATTAAACAATTTAAGGGTTTGTTTAAATATTTTTTTTTATGTTTATTTATTTATAATAATTTTAATATATTAGTAGCAATAAAAATAGCTCTAATATAAAATTAGACAAATTCAGCAAAAAGGATAATATCAATTTAAATATTGGTTTACAAGGTATAATTCATTTTAGAGATTAATTAAATAGCAAAATAAAAAATTTATTTTCTAAAAAAATATATTAGAAGAAATTTATGTAGTTGTTAAAACTAATTTACAATTAAAAAATAACTTTAATAATTCAATTAAATTGATTTAATAACTTTTAAATAAATAAATAGAAAGATTAGTATTAGATAGAAAAATAGCCTATAGCTTTAACTGCTTACTCTTCTTTTATGCATTTGATTTTTGAACTCACTTAAAAGATTTAGCGTGACCGCTGTGAACTTGTTTACAATTTTGTAAAGTCACTCAACATTACTTTTGATTCTAAAACTGCTAATTTTATCACCTCAGATTATGATGTTTCATTTTACCTTTCCACTCAATTTCTTAGCTCTCCTTTAATACTTTCCATAATATGATGGGATCCCATTAGTTGAATTTTTAGTAAAGTAGTAACTTTACCCTCTTTATTTTACTTTATTTTTTTTACTCAAAAGGTAATTTTCTTAGCTTAAGTTAGGTTTTAATTTTGAGAGAATACAGTGTCAGTCTTTTATAGTTTTAGTCTTAGATTATTTTTTTACGAGATTTTTGTAATTTCTTTTGATTTGTATTTTAATTCTATATTTTATTTTTATAATAAAAATATTGTGAAACTATTATACTTTAAAAAAAAATATATTAGATAGAAAACCTTATATGTAAAAGTCCTATAAATGAAGAAGAAATTGCACAATTTTTTAAGTTAATTTAGAATTAAATAATTTTGTAAATCAACTATTTATTACTATAGTCTTTTAATTTTTCTAACATAGGTAATTATTTTGATTGATTCAATATTATATTATAATAAAACTATATAATCAATACTTTAATAATATTTTGATTTATAAAATTTTATTCAAATACATTGTTAAAGTCAATCTTATTTATTTTAAGTAAGTAATTTAATTTTAATTAGTATTAATTTGTTAATTTAAATATCATATCATTATTAAAATATATTACTAAAATAGATAAAAAAATATAACAAATTAGAATGTGAAATTTATATTAAACTACAAATACTACAAGAGATTTTTAAATATTTTAATTTTCTTCTAAACCTAATATCAGTAGATATAATTTAATATTATTTATTTAGAATATTAAGCTAATTATATTAATTTAGTATATTAAATTAATACTATATAGTTTATGATTCTAATCATAATACTAATTTTTCTATAATGTATAATAAATATATAACTGATAAATATTAACTATTCAAAAAAATTGTTATCATAAATGCAGAAAAGAAACTATTAAAATTGTATATTAATATTAAGATTTGTAGATTTATAACTTATAATAAATATTCAAAGGTATGTTGTTTATTTAGTAAAAGTAATTTATCAAAAAAAATAATTTTAAGGTTCAATATATTATAGAAAACTGATCTTATATATATGAATCTGCCATTTTTTTGCAAAAAACATAATTTGTTTAATAAAATATTTATTCATAAAAAATTAGCTATAAAATGCTAATAAAATTTACTTATTATTTATATTAAAGAATTTATTTTAATCAGTGTTATAATTATAAATTAATAGAAAATTTACAGGATAAGTAAATTTACTAATGGAAAATATAAATTGGTATTTTTTTATATGTAAATTACCAAGATAAAGGATTGAATTTCTAAGAAATAGAAGCATAATCAATAAATATTATTATAATATTATGTAAATCATAAATAATAAAAATAATTTTGATTTGTAAACAATTTTATCATTTTATTTTAAGCATTATAAAATTATAAATATTCTTATATTTTTTAATTAAATTATTCAAAAAAAATATTTGCTATTTGTTAATAACTAAAATTTTATATAGTGTTTAAATTTTAGTGTTGATTATTTATTTCACTTTTTCCTTTAAATTTTAATCAAGATATGTTAAATATATAGATTGGTTTAATATTAATAATATTTATTTATTATATAAATTATACTTTGAAATTTTATTTTTTAAATAATTATATCTAATAGATTAATTTTTTATTTTTTGAAATAAAGAAACTAAAGCTGTATTTTACTTTATTTCATCATTATTAAAAATTGTTAAAGTAATGTGATCATATTTTACTTCATTAATTAAATAGTTAATATAAGATATTACTAAATAGTATAAAAGAATAATATTGATTTTATTATTCCTTCAACTATTTTACCTACAAATTTGTAGGCAATTTATTTTTAATTACAATTCTTTTTAATTATTTTTAAATATTTTAAAATATATTATTAAAAAATTAATACTTTTATAATAAATTTATAATATTTTTTAAGTAAAATTAAAAGAAAATGTAATTATCTAATGATTTTTATATATAAATAAATAATAAATTATTATAAAAAAAATCAAAATTTTAAACTTATATATTTTGCTATCTATCAATCTCAAAAATATAAATATATTATTATTTAATAGGTCTTAATATGATAAATTTAATAAACTAAATTTTATATTTTGTAATTATTTTTTTTTAAAAATGTGATAATGCTTATATTTATTATAAAAATTCAAATCTAATAGGTTAATACATAAAAATCCTAAAAATCAGATACAAAAGTAGAAAAAAATAAATTGAACTGTTTAAAACGTTCTTGCAAATTAAAAATTTACTAGCTCTAGACCAACCAGTCATTCTGTCATACTTCAGAGATAATTGTTAATAGAGTTTCTATTAATATATAACAACTAGATTATATTATACTTCTCTTTTTTACTTAACGATAATTCCTATCCTAAATTTAAATTTAATACAAAAACAAGTAATTTAAACTATTGTTAAAATAAAAAAAAAATTAATAAAAAAATCTGACTCTAAAAGTTTTTAATTAAATTACCTGATTAATTCTTAGTTACAGTAACCTTCTAGCACAAGAATATCTATATCATTAAATTCTGTCAAAAGCTTTTTATTACTCTTAAACTTCCATGCTAAAATATCTGTTAATTCAGATTATAATCATCAGCAAACATTGCATAGAATCCAAATCACACAATTACAAGAAATCAGAAAATTCTGCTAAAATTAGCAGATTTTATGATGGTAGAGATCTAAAAAAAATGTATTTGTTTAGGAAAGTAATGAGAAATTATCACATATAATTAGTTGATCTAAATTTATTATCAATCCTAATTATCATTTAAGATATCTTTAATGCTCACTTTTATAAATAAAAATAAAATGAAAAATAGCTAAGAGAAGTGATAAAAAATATTTTAATAAAAAAATACACCACCATTTAGATTAACAAAAATTGTTTTAGAATAAGAGAATTTGAAAAGAACAAAGAAAAGAAAAAGTTTGTAAAGGGAGTTTTATTTTTTGTTCATAGGCTAAGTCATGACCACTCTTGAACGTACATATTTTTTATGTAAAAATTCTTGGTCAAGTGATCACCAAAAAGTATTATCATATTTTGTAATTATTAGATAATAAATTATTTTTAAAAATTAAAAAATTCAAAATTTAATATATATTGATAATTATTAATTTTAAAAGTTTAAAAATACTACCATTAAATATATTATAATATGATAAATCTAAAAATTTTATTTTATCTTTTTATAATCATTAATATCAAAATATTTTAAGTTTTCTAAAATGTTTTGGAACAATTTTAAATGTATAGTTTAAGAAATAATATTTAATAAATAGATAAATATTAAATGATAATATTTTTTAATATTATAAATAAAAAAAAAATTATATATGTTAAATATCTAAATAAATTTTATTATTATATATAATTTATTAAATAAATCTAATAGTTGAAATATTTATTAGCAAATTACTATTAATATCATTAATTACTTACATATTTTAGATATTTTATAAGACAAATTAGAAATATAAAATATTATATAACAAAACTATAATTTTAACTTTACTCAAAAAAATCTGATAGAATAATTTTTATTTTACTTTAAAAATTAAAAGAAATATTTAATTTTTTATTATTTAATTTAATAATTTTAAAATTTAAAAGTTTATTATTTAATAATAAATCTAATATTAATTATATTTTATATTAAACTTGAATTATTAAGTTTCACTAAAACATTTTAGCAATCTTAATATATTACAATTTAATAGTATATACATAATAACATCATTTTAGTATTCTATTCAGTATGATATTTTCTAATTATATGATATATAGAAACTATAGGAGAGAAAGTAAAAAGTGGTGACAAATAATCACATCAGTGATGCGACAATTAACTGGCCCAATTTATACTACTAATGAAAAAATTTTTTTATAATATAAAAATGTTATTTATCGCTTTATCTTGTGCATCCATGTTTAAATAGAAATTTCCTGATAAAATTGTTTAATTAAGTAATAGAAATTTTTTAATGCATTACATCGTAAAAAGGGACTAGATAGCCTTACTTTAAGGAGAAACTTAGTTAAAATACTTTTCTTAATAGAGATTATAGTTCCGTTACTAACTGTTAAAGTGCTAGAATTCCCAGGAATACATCGTTAGAGATACGTTCCGATACGGATGCTGTTTGTCTCTAGAATGAAGCTTTAAAAAAATCAATTGGAATAACATAGCCGATTTTTTTTTATTTTAACACCACACAAAAAATTTTATTGTGACGTAAGAAAATAATTAACGAAAATGATTTTTTTTTTTAAATTAAAAGTTGCTTTCTTAATTCTTTTTTACATGATTGATTTATATATTACAAATATTATTTCAAAGTTATTCTCTTCTAAATGCTAATGATGCTTAAATATCTATAAATACAAATGTATATAATAACATTTTATGTGACAAAAAAAAAAAAATTAACGATTCCTTTGATCCTTTTTTATAATTTGAAAAACCTCATATTCATCTACGCAAAAATTTTGATCATTCGAAACCTTTCTCTCGTACGTATATTCTTGTGACCAACAATTGATACCCTTGTTAAACTGTTCTTTCATCTCTAAATCACTTGATCCAAAAACTGGACCGTACATTTTCCCATGAAATATTGCGGATTTTGCACAGTAAGGTTTTACACGACTAAGAATTACATTTTTAACACTGGTTCCATTACCAAGTGAAAATAAAAAACTGTCCTCAGTATGACCCCAAACGTCTTTGCCTTTCCATCCTAAAGGATTATAACCCCCAATGATTTGTCCAGTCCCATGAATTTTTAACACAACTACAGCAGGACCTTTATTATCACAGTATTTGTGAAATATCGCTGGTGTAAAACCATCGCGAGTCCCACGCAAAAGTAATTTTAAATCATAAATGTCCCTACAAGCACATGGATTCCCCTCTCTTCTATCGATCCAATGAGATATGACCGCAACATGTTTTGAACTAATTAGTTTTGAATCAAGTCTAATTGCAGGAAATCGAATAGGCGATAGTAAAGATGTAACTTGTGTATCGGGCACCATATGATATTTAACAATTTCATCGGATAATTCGGTTGGTAAAATCGCTCTAAAGGGCCATACTTTAAAGTAAAAGTCGGTTGATGAAATTCCGGTAAACCCAATGAGGGGTATACACCCATTTAAGGTATTTCTTAAAGCATTAAAATCATCAGGTGTATAATCTGTGAAATGTCTATCGCCAAGCCTTGGAGTTTGTGCCTTACCCCACTTGATTAAATTGTCCCAAACTTCAACTTCTTGCATCCAGAGATCACCTCTCTTTAAGAGATATATAAGTACATCTTCGTTCAGTCGTGTGAACATTTCGGAATCAAATATTAGGCTTGGTTCCGCACAAGTTTCATCAAGACAAAAATCACGAAGCTTTGAACAAGAATCTTGTTTAAAGATTGCATTGAGAACAAGAACAAGGTTTTCTTGTAACCAAACTGACTCCTCTATAAGTAGATGATCCTGTATTCGAGTTACGTATTCTACCAACATCAATTCATCCGCAGCTACTAATAATTCAAGAATATCAACATATGGATCATTAGGATTAACTAAAATCGTTCCCGTATAAATATATCTAAATAATACACAATAGAATTTTTTTTTTTTTGAATAAATCGACACTCCTCTTGACATAAAAGGAAAAAAAAAAAAATTAAAATAAAAAATAACTTGCTTACTTTAGGATTACGTCAAATACTGATGGTGATATATTAGGTTTTGTAAAAATTGTATAATCATCTTCTTTACGAACCCAGTTACTAGATAAAGCTGCCCGAAAATATGGACATCGAGCGCGTAAAATAGCCGAATGTGTTTTAAATGATTTTACATTATTCCCCTCTCCCGCTGTAATGATAACATTATAATCATCACCATCTTGAAGTAGTTGAGCAAGATCGCGGGAAAGTCCAACCAAAAAATCGGAAGTCATAATAAATAAAAAAAAAAAAAAAGGGCGAAACAATTTAAGTTGTGCAGTGTTCGTAAATTAAATCACAACCACCTTTTATAACAAAGAAATTCCCTTGAAAGGGATCAACGACATTTATTTCACATGTGGGATGTATACAAAGGCTGTGTATGCGTTATCGATCAATCCGCATGTTACAGATCAGGGTCATTACTTGAATAGTTAGTTAACGTAACATTGTTTATTGCATCTCATCTTTGCCTTAGAAATGGTTGAAATCAAGCTTTCCACGCGATTTAAAGCAAATAAACGCCAATTCCTTAAAAATTAAATCATATCGTTCGATACCCTAACTCATTCCTACGGCGAATTGGTGCTACGAAACTCGCTTTGTGCAGAAATTTCCTTTTATAATTTTTAAGGTTAGATAATACTAATTTTATTTGAAGATCTCAACATTGTCCTGATATAATGATTATAATGATTTTAAATAATTGATGAACAATGTCAAATAATAGCGTGAACACAATCTAATTATCTTTACCATTTTTCAAACAATGACAATATGCAAGCCCTCTTGACATTTCCCTCCATTAAGTAAATCTATACTTTTTTAGCGAAAGATAAAAATAAGCCTGTGCGCGAACAAGGAGGTAGTTACACGAATGGCTAAATTCAAAAAAATTATGCTGTTGATATTCCACGTGTAAAATGAATAGACAGTCTTCAACTACTTAATAGGGTGACTAATTGAATGTAAAAATAATATAGTGATTTAATTAATTAATATAAAAAAGGGATAGCAGAATATAAAAACCATTTTTATTAGTCTAAAAATGTAGGTGATTATTTCTATTAGAAAATCGATGCTTTCCAATTTCTTTTTGTCATAAATAGCTTATCAATTAACCGTCAACTTCACGTGCAAGAAATTTCGAATTGACTCAATAATTTTAAAATTCGTAAAATCATGACTCATCTGGAAAGTTTATTTTCTCGGATATCATAAACATAAATAAATAATTTGTTATTTGTAAGTTTCTTTTTTTTATGTTAAATAATTTCAAGATGTCTTTACAAACTGCAAAAACTTCACATCCTAAAAGATTGTAAATAAATATAAAGAACCTTTTTTCTAAAGGCTAAAAATTTATCTTCAGATTTCTAAAATTATTTCTCTATTTGATGTCATAATCTAGTCTCAAGAATTCTTCAAAAATTCTAATTGGATCCACAAATCAACAAAATTCGAATGAAACATCCATACCAATTCAGATTAACGCGATTGTTGATATGAAATTTATATTTGGTGAACAATACGCAAAAGTATCATTTGAAGGTAATTTTTTATTCATAATATTTGAAATAGAATTTCATTTCATAATTTCATTTATTTATCATATTTGTTTGCGAGTAGATCAATCATTACAACCGCAATGGGAGCCTGTGAAAAATATACAAGGTGTAGAAGGATTGATACTCAAATTTCAACAACTGAGAGAAGAAGAAGAACGTGCAGGACGTGAAGAGCGTTTAAAAGAGTTGAAAGTAGAGTTTCTGATATATTAATAATTTAATCATTAAGTCACATGTTCGTTAATTCATTTCGATTAAAAATAGAAACGGCCAAATTTATATTTGCATAAAGATTATAAAGCAACCACCAATGTCTCCGATCAGGTTTCTAACAATACGATTAATGTTTACAGCTCAAAATTAAAAACCGTGACATTTGCTCAAAATCCCAATTCTGTGCAAGTGCAAATCCCAATACCAAAAATTCCAATTGAAAATGTGAATAATTCTAGCTTGATAAAAACTGGCTTTACACATAAACCTATCCTTAAAAGTGCTTTGCGAATTTCAAAAGTTGCTGAAAATCAAAACAGACCTTGGTAAGTTGACGGTAATTAACATTTGAATTGAACTGTTAAATAAGATATCACTTTACTTTCTAGGCAATGGAACGGTATCTTATTTAAGGGAAAAATGAGGGATTTTGTAGCAAAAGTAATTGTTAAGCCGGTTAAAGAAGGATCTAATTACAAAATTATTTTGTAAGAGTTTCCTTCTAAATATTTATTTTCAATTTATGTTGTGACATTTATTAATTTATATTAATTTTACAGGGATACGTTGGGGTTAAATAATGCTATCTGCATTACTAATGCCATATCGTTATCATATGCTTTATATTTAGTAGGAAAAAATAGAAAAGAGTTGAGTGATATTTTTTTAATGGAATGTGAAAGCGGAAATTTGAAAGAAGAACAGATCATTATGAAGTTGCACAATTTGGTATTATTTTTCGACCCCAAATTTAATTCATCAACATAATATCAATAATACAATAATTTGTGAAAAAAAAAATGAACTTAACTAGGTCACGTTTATTCGATTGGAAAATGATTATAATGGAATATATTTTTTTGTATTTGCCGATTATCGATGGCTTTGTGAGAACCTTAGTTTCGATCAAGAGACTACAGAACCTATACTTCTCGTAGCCAAAAATGTGAAAATCAAGCAAAGATATTTGATTGTTCAACAACCTACGGTTCAATTGCTTGATTATGAAACAAACCGTAATGCAAATTATTATAAAGCAAAGACGGAATTAATTGCTAATGGTTATAACGATTTCATAACAAAATTATGTGAACAAAAACCGAACTTTACGGTATACGCGAATCTTAAATTTGGTGAGACAGAAAGTATAATTAATGTGATGAGAGCATTCGGAGCAAATTATCTTCCGAATTATTATTGCGATAATATGGACTTGGTTTTGGTATGACAAGAATAAATTTTTCAGGTGGATAGCAAATATTAAAGTCTAACGTTTCGACGTATTTTTACATAGGTTCATGTATTAATGCTGGATCAGATCAATTTCATGCCAAACTTGATAAAACTAAAACGTCAACAACAATGTAAATTCTTTGTATATGGTTGGGATTTCATGCGACAAGATTCTATCAAATTCGAAGAACACTTTATTTCAGGTTTTACTTATTACATACTTTTTTTGTCGTGTTATATTTTAAATATTTAATAACTTTTTGATTATTCGTATAGGAGGTTTTTTATCAGTTACGATAAAAACTTTACTTGAAGAAGGAAATGGCTTGCAAAGAATTTTGGATATTATTGAATATGTAAGAAATGTAACACTTTTTGTTAAATACATAAATAATTCTTTAAATAAATTTTTGTCCTTCTATAGCAAAAGGAAAAAGGCGTAAATTGGAAAATTCTGTTAGATCCTGAAATAAAATATCATAATTATAATTTTGATGCTTTAATCAATCCCAACCTAAAGTATTTAATATTAAAATTTCATTTGGCTATCGATAAATCTATTCTGATCGACAGTTGTTCTTTACAGTGACGAGTATAGTGAAATTGAAGAAGTTGATTATTTTGATATACTTTTATGGAGAAAGGTAAATATTATAAATTAAAAATATTAAAGCATTTTTCGTAATGGATTAATTAATTAATTGCTTTGTTAACATAGTTAATGAAAGCAAATGAAACTAATATGTCTAGACTTTATGATGCTTTATTGTTTTCGTACTCGTCTAAGGATACTACTAATCAATTACAAAGACATTGTATACTCATCGCAAATGAAGAAGAAACTTTTTCTCGTCCGAAAATTCCTGGTGTAAGTATACATTTCAATGTAATCAATTTTGTTTTATGCATATTAATTCATACTCTTAAGCAGGTTGACGTAATGACTTTAAAAGGCTTTGAAGACATTTTTGGTTTGAATGATAATATGGAATGGGAAACAACATTTTATAAAATTGGCTAGCATGAAATATATCAATAATTGTGTATAAACCTAAAAATTACTTTTCTTTACTTATTATAATTAAAGCTCAAATAAAGGATCAATTGCAAGTGGCTTTATATTAATAAATAAGTTAACATAATAGTAATACTTATTATAGTGACCAAGCCGATATATTATTACATTATTACTTATAGAACAAACATGATATATTATGCATTATTATAATTTCCTTTTCTACTTTAATGCCTTTCCATCAGCACAATTTCTTTACTGTATAAATCACATGGAGTTTGTCGCAATTGTTGAGACTGCTAAAACAATGTTATGTTTTAAACGTTAAGAAAGATTTCGTTGATATTTCAAATATGGAGCATATTTTCCTTACTTCAAAAATTAACCTTAATAAATCTATGGAATCAACTTCCACGGAAAAAAATATCAACTGATTCACGTACTCAATCATGAAAGATCAAATAAATGATATAGGGTGGAAAAACATTGTGTAAAGGTCATATCCTTAGAGATTTAATAACATATTGTCAATCATAAAGGTAGAATGATCACGCGTTAATGCTATTAATATTCTAATTTAGAGCACTGTAGTGCATGTTTCAACCGAAGTTATGCACTGACACATGTAGTTAAATGTGAAAGTTAAGGCGTGGTAAAATAGGATCCACATTTCAAAATGAAAGAAACCGATAACAGAATGATAGATATGCATTACAAAGCTTTCTTGGGACGCTGAAGTAAATTATTTATATAGTAATATTTAAGTCATTCATATGACATATCAATGCAATAACTTTCAATCTAACGCTTATATGTAAAAATGGCAAAATCCAAGTTATAAATAGAAATCAATAATATACTTAATATTATTGAAAGAATCCAAGGTATTAATTTCAAATTTAAATAAAAAAGTATTAATTACTATCAGAAAAATTTGAACCTGATTATAATTTAAAGCCACTCATTTATTTGTATATATTTGTAAATATAATATTAAAAATTAGATATTAAAACCAAAAATAATTTTTTGATTATATGTATTAAGAATTCTTTTTAAAATATTTAATTAAATAACTTCCAATCTTTTATTAATTATTTATTATCTAATATATTTGATCTTTTATAAGAATATAATAAATGATTAAATGATTGCAAATTTATTATTTTAAAGTTTTAAATAAATAACTAATTATAGTTTCTTTATTTATTTATAAATTTATTTTTAATATTTAATTTATAATTAACTAAAATATATTTTTTAAAAATAAATATTAAACTTTAATATATTAATTATCCCTTAAACTGTAGAGGTTCGCAGGCAGATTTGCCTGCTTATTTACTATAAATTCCCTTCTGATTTACTTTTATGAAAAATTAAAATTTTTAAAAAATTTTTTTT